AAAAAAAAAAAAACTGTACCTGATGAGACCACAGTACTACTTTAAAGGAAAAGAAGAAAAAAATAAAGCTGTCCCTAAAAATGTAAAGACTTACCTCCCTTTCCGGGCAAATTCAATTGATTTAATGGCCGTGGTATTGCTTGTTCCAGTTGTTACTCTGAAGGAAGCAACAAGATCCTGAGAATCTGTTTTCAGAACCAAAATCTAAAGTTTAAAAGAGGGAGGGAGAAGTATTGTGATAATTAATAGTAATGAGATCTGGCTTCTGTTTCTAAAATTGGGCAGAGACTGGGTAAAAATACAAACATTTCTATTCCTATGTATTCAACCTGATTAGCTGGTATTAGCTTTTTGTTTCTTCAAATAAAGGATAAGGTCTTAAACAACTCTCAAAATATGTTTGGCATTATTTACAACAGCCAAAAACTGGAAGCAACCCATGTATATACTGACAAATGAACAGATAAAATGTGGTATATACATACAATGAAATATTATTAAACCTTGAAAAGAAAGAAAATTTTGAAACAGGATACAATTATGGATGAGCCTTGAAGACATTAAGCTACGTGAAATAAGCCAGTCATAAAAGGGTAAATTCCATATGATTCCACTTCTATAAGGTACCTGCATAGTCAAATTCATAGATAGAAAACAGAATGGTGGTTGCCAAAGGCTAAAGAAGAGCAGGAAATAGGAAAGTAACTGTTCCATGGGTACAGAGTTTCAATTTTATAAAAAGAAAACAGTTCTGTGGATGGATAGTGATGGCTGCACAACAATATCAATGTACTTATTACTACTGAACTATACACGTAAAAATGGTTGAAATGGTAAACTGTGTCATTTGTATTTTAACACAATTTTTTAAAAATTGCCACTTTCTAAAATAGCTGTGAAATTCTACTAGCCCATGTGTCCCAATTAAAATCAAAACACAAAGTCCCCAATGAAACTACTTTTAAGTATAAAAAGAACCTTAAAGTTCATCTAACCTGACTTCTTATTCCACAGAAGAAACACTTTCTACAATGTTTCCAAGACAAAAGGGCCTACACATTCCAAAGAAGTCAGAAGTTTAAGAAGAAAAAAGGATAATAAAGTCTCAATTCTGTAGGTTAAGCTGGCCTGAATTATATATTTTATAAAACCAGATATTAAGGCATTTATTTTCATCAGCAGTATTCCAGTTGGTAACAAGACTTTTAAAATTTATAATTTAGTAAGGCCCTTAAGCATCCAGTAAAGGCCCTTCCATCCTTTTCTAGGTCAAATAATCTCTGACCACTCTAAACCCAAAAAACAAAAATTATTATCAAGGTATTGGAGAAAAATAGGCTACATTTGCCATAAGCAGAAGTAATGCTTAGTCTAGGAATAAAAGAAATTTCGAAGTAGAACAAGTAAACAGAAAATGAGCCAATGCACAAGATGCCTGATCCTTATTTTACCAATTTCTAGGCTTCAAGGCTTACCTTGCCTTTTGCATTTCCTGTATAAATATATTCCCCTCGCCTATCAAAAGATGCCACCACGTTCAAATCGGAGTCATCATCTACCGGCAGAACAACATGTTTGGAATCTGAAAGGGTCAACATGACAGGAGCAGATTTCATGGGACACACGAGAACCTTGTTCCTGTTTAAAAATATGAACAGTACATTGGCTGTTGCTTTGGCATCAGCAGGCTGATTCCCTATCCTTTTCCCTGATCCCTGTCCACTGCTCTCATCAACTTTCCTAGCCCAAGCAAATTTGAAATACTGGGAAACAATTTCCAAATGTCTAATAACAGGGAAAAGATGAGTAAAATTATGGGATCCTACTTCCACAAAATAAAATGTAATCATCCAAAAATAAATATAAAAATAGAGCAAACTAATAAAATACAAAATAAAAAGGCAAAATACTGATCACAATTACATAAAAGTACCTATTTATGTAATTTAATATGTACTAAGATGTGAAGCACTTGTGCGATTAAACTATTTTATGTTATACATGAACTTTATGTCTGCCCTGTTTAAGCTTCATACTTAAAGAGAACCTAACTAAAAAAGAGCCCAGAGATATGAAAACAGTTGTGTCTGGGTAATGGAATGGTAACACATTTTCTCAAATACAGCTTTAACAAGTGAACTCTTTCCCCGTCCTAAAGAAGTCAAAGGGGGAAAAGCCCCAGGTCAAAGACCAGTATTGTATATTTATCCCCACCTCTGTTACTTCCAAAGTCTTAATAATGATTAGTTTAAATTATATAATACAATAACATTCTCCTTAAATGTATTCAGTAGAATTGACTACAAAAAAAGATTTTATGTAGAAGATTTGAAGAGATGTGTGTTTACCTCCTAAAACCTTAAAACTGTCATAAGCCTAGACCTATCCACATAGAATTAGATCCCACCCCAGGAAGGAATTGCTTAGATTAAACATACTGATCTCGTGGATGATATTGGACTTTTAAGATGGGTGAAGGGAATCGAAACCTCTGGTCGCAGTCGCCTGAAAGAACATCCCACTGTGACACTATATTATCAGTGGAAGCACTCACGAGCTTATGACCATCTCGACTCCAGCTGGGAAGAAAAAGGGGTAATTTAGTGCATATTCTTGGTTAAAGTATATCTTACCACTCTTCTGATAAAACGTGTGAGTCAAACACATTTTCCTAATTGCAGAGGTCAATGACATTTGCTGTTTGTGTCTTTTTAACATATACTCAAATCCACAGGCTTTCCCAATTAAGCAATAAATAAGAATGTTTTCATGACATTTTCATATCCGGGAAGGGAAGCTCTTAATATTTTAAGATAACATTAAGATGTTTAGTGAAATTAATAGAGATTCATGGATTGGGCATAGTGGCTCATGCCTACAGTCCAGCACTTTGGTAGGCCAAGGTGGAAGGATCACTTGAGCCCAAGGGTTAAAGACTATCCTGGGTATAACATGCTGAGACCCGCATCTGTACAAAAATTAGCTGAGCATGGTGGCGTACACCTATAGTCCCAGATACTTGGAAAGCTGAGGCAGCCTTAAGTCCAGGAGTTCAAGGCTGCAGTGAGCTATGATCATGCTAGGTGACAAAGAGCGATACCGTCTCCAAACATACAATACAAACATCTTCTTAGAAGTGTCTAAAAATCAGCTGGCCCTTAAGAGTTGATAGAATAAAAAAAATTGAGGGCTTTTTTGGAAGACAGGTTAAAAGAGCACATTTCTGATGTAATCCCAGAACAAAATGTGAACACAACAAAAAGAGGCCAGGAACAGTGGTCCAAGGATGTAATTCCAGCATTCTGGGAGGCTGAGGCAGAAGATTGCTTTAGGTCAGAAAATCCGACCAGCCTGAGCAAAAATGAGACACTGTCTCTACAAGAAATAGAAAAATTAGCCAGGCATGGTGGCACCTGTAATCCCAGCTACTCAGAAGGCTAAGACAAAAGGATCGCTTGAGCGTAGGAGTTTGAGGTTGCTGTGAGCTATAATGAAGCCACTGCATTCTACCCAAAGTAACAGAGTGAGACACAGTTTCAAAACAAGAAAAAAAAAGTATCTGTTATTTAAAATAAGAAAAGAACTGAGAAAGAATTAATTTCTTCTGTTAAGTATAGCTAAATACCCTAAAACATTATATGTAAAATAGACCAAAAAAAAAAAAAAA